CCAGCGCTGCGCCAGGCGTGCGAGGTTTGACAGAACAGACGAGCTCCCCCGAGAGCCAGGGAAACAAGGACAACGGCCACGTCTGCAGTTTTTAAATTCTATCCAGAAATATCTTTGCAGAAGTTCAAAAAAAGAAAGGGCTTGGCAGCACCCAGACACTTTCCTGTACACAGGAAAAAAAAAAAATCAGGCGCGCACAACTCCTCGTCTGTGCTTCGGCCACGCTGTGGATTCCCCGTTCCTCCTACTCCTGTTCCTGACACGACAACGAGCCGGCTCCGAAGCCAAACGCCAGGAGCGCTCACATAAAAACCCGACAAGGAACACAGACACGTGGAGTGAGCAATGCCCCGCTGCTCTCATTTTAATAATCCCATTCCACCCCGGCCACGGGCGTTCGCCCAGCGCCGTGTCCCAGCCCGAGCCTCCGCCGCCCAGGCCGCAGCAAGGAGTGGGAAGCGTTCGTGATCCAAGGAAACTGCGGCGGCGTAGCTGAGGAGCCAAACGCTTCCCGGCGCCCGCCGCAGGCCTCACCCGAGGCAGGCTCCGGGCACGCTGCTGTCCTGCAAACCCCGAGGGCTGCGGCTGCGTGAGCTCCGCGGGTGACAGCCCGAATACGCGCCATGACGATGGCGCGGCCACCTCAGCCCTCCAGGATGCGATTGATTAACTTCATTTCCTCAGCAGTCATGGGGTTCAGGTTAAATCCCTTCAGCTCAGCTTTACCTGAGAGAACAGACGGAAAAATCAGGATTTTGCTAGACAATAAGCGTAGTGGTCCATATGCAACTAGAGGGGCTGCGGGGAGGGCAGGGACGGCCCTGGGAGCTGAGGCGGGCGATGCGGGAGCCCCTTCAGCGTGCCGGTGGGTGACGGCTCCGCACCAGCAGCCGCGCAGAACTGCTGGAGCAGGGAGGGAACTGGGGAGCCAGCGGGAGAGCGGCTGCGGGAACACACAGAGCTCAGGAGCTGCTGGACCCTCCCGACACGCGACGTCTGCTGCGGGATACCGAGAAGGTTCCAGAACAGGAGCGTTTACCTTGGGCCTCGAAGAGGCGGTTGACCTTCACCCGCAGCTCCTTCCGGAGGTTGTTTATCTCCTCATCCAGATGTTCCTGGTCTGAGACAAGCGGGACAGGCGTGAGGGGGCCCGCGGGCGCTGGGGCGCGGGCAGAGCCTCCCGCGGGACGCTCAGCGTGGCAGCCCAGGCCCGGGCGCAGGCGAGGGCTCTTCCCCCCCGCCTCGGGGTCCCCCCCTGCCCGCGGCTGCTCCGTGCCCGAAGGCGCTTCCCAGGGCCCTGCCCCCCGCGGCGGCGGCGGCCCGAACCCGCCCCGGGGAG